TCCTATTCTTCCATCTTTGCTTGGAAAAGTCTAAGTGTCTTCAGTAATTATAAAACTATTTTCTTTAAGTAAAATGCATGTGATTGTTTTAGGAAAGCATAGCATCTTTAAAGAAGGTACAAATACTCCAGCAAATCTCCCAGCTTGTCCTTCCAGGCTAGTCTAACAGCTGGTGATGGGTTAACTTTCACAATTTTGAAAATTCTTGTATAGATAAAAATCACAGTGGAAATCGCCATAACTCAGTAGATTAGTACATTAACAATTTGAAAAAGGTAATGAATCTGGGGATAGAATAGATGAAAACCTGGGGAAATGTCAATTGTGATAACATCAATAATGAAATTCATTCTTTTCAGGTATAGATGAGATTCAGTGAACCAAGTCTCAGCTCTTCAAAATGATTCTACAATGTCCAATAGTTTCCATCCCCCTCAATCTGGGTCTGATCTGCTAGCAGTGAAGGAAAGGCAAATTAGATTTTTAAGTTTTAAGCGCCAGGTCAGCAAATCCCTTATTGGTTCTTGGCTGTTTTAAATAATTGAATGTGTGATTTTATTAAGCAGACATTAAAGACACAGGAAGTAAAATACTCCCTGGAATGAAGAACCATTCTGATTTAATCAAAATAGCATGCCCTCCTTTTTTGTAGTAAAACATCAAATTGTTTGTGGTTACATAGAAATAATTCAGAGAGTCCTAGAATTTACTACCTCCTTCAACACTGTATTAAAGCACATTGTGTCCTCTCAGAATGTTCCAGTCTTTGATGACCAAGCAAACACAGTCAGGCCTCCTGGGGTTGATGGGGAACTACTCTCTCTGGATCACAGCTCATGAAGCTGTCTGCTAACATTCCTGTTATTTTCCCACAGGAAAAACAATCAATCCATAAAATAAAGTTTCCTCTTGCTTTCTGTAGCTTAACCAGATGTGCTAGGGAGTTTAATTGTATGTTTATTAATTTCAACATGTGTTGAATATTCTTATGTTTTACCTTATTTATATATAAAGCATGTTAAAATGTGAATTTTTTTTTCTCTGCCACAAACATAATTTTACTAGTGTGGAGTCCTTGATGAATGTTTTCTATGCATGAGAATTCTTTAATATGCAAAGATCCTATACTCTTTCTTTCAATTCTGAATATGGCAAACTAGTTCTTTAAAGGGCTAGACAGTAAATATTTTGAATATGTAGCTATACCATCTCTGTCATAACTATTTAACTCTGCCATCATAGCAATGAAATCAGAATCAGATAGACCTGAATTTGGCATCCAGTTCTCCCATGACATGACTTAGGCTAAGTTATTTACTGTCTATGAGCCTAATTCATCTGCAAAATGCAAGCAAGATCTTTCTCATCAGCATGTTAAGGAGCTTGCTATTGAGTCCCTAGTATGTGCGAGGGACAGCAGCACACAATTTCACCAAGTACCTCATCCTCACAATAGTAGCATATGAGGTAGGATTAGCTCCTTTGAGAGTTATGGCAATAGGTTCAGGGAGATTAGCTCTGGGTCACAGCACTAGTACAGAGCTGTGGTTCTGAACCAACATTTCTGAGACTCCAAAGTCCTTGTTCCTTCTAATCTGTATTACCTGGCTCTCACTGTACTACCTATTAAGAATGAGAGGGCATATTTAAAAAAAAAAAAAAAAAGTGACTAGCACATTTTGTGGCCTGTGTTAGATGCTAAATAAACATTGGTTTTCTTTCCCTCCCTAGAGAAGCTATCAAAATTTGTTAATGGGAGCACTAGAAATACAGCCTGATAAATCTTCCTGAGGAGAGGAGAGAAGAAGGAAGATTAGAAAGAGTAGAAAATTCAGTAGTTGTCTAGCTCTCACGCAAGAGTAGTTTCTGATGGGAAGCAAAATAGGGCTTGAGACCTGAAGCCTGGCTGCAGCCACAAAGTCTCCACAGAGAATATGTGTCTGTTAGATTTTAAAACCCAGATCCCATATCAAGCATGTAGCATTCTCATTACTTTCGGCAGCCTTGGTTCAGCATGTCCAGGAATTAAGGATATGCTCTTTCTCTCCTAAGCTTGCCTTTTGCTGCAGCAGCTCAGATGAACCAGAGTACATGGCAAGGGCAGTGGGAGAAAAAGAGGCTTCTAGATTCAGGCCTCTAAGTATTCAGTGGTTCTACTTAACCCTGAATAACCTGGCTGCCCGTATGTATGTTATCCCCTTGTTCTTTGCTTTTAAAGAAAAGACTTTTGATGGGTTTGACGTTCCTTCTTAGGAAGCATGCTGTGGGGCTCCAGAGAACATAACTACAATTACACAAGGCAAGTGAACATTTTTTTTTTTTTTTTTTTTTTTTTTTGAGACGGAGTCTCGCTCTGTCGCCCAGGCTGGAGTGCAGTGGCCGGATCTCAGCTCACTGCAAGCTCCACCTCCCGGGTTTACGCCATTCTCCTGCCTCAGCCTCCCGAGTAGCTGGGACTACAGGCGCCCGCCACCTCGCCCGGCAAGTGAACATTTTTTAAGGACTATTACAAAGATGCCATACCAATGGTGACTAGGCTTTGTTGTGCCAGCAAAGTAGGCCTGAAATCTCAGTGATATAGTAAAACAAAGATTTGCTTCTTGTGCTTGTAAAGTCTGCTTCCAGCAAGTTGAGTGACTCTGGGGAAGCTGGCCGTGGCAGTGACTCAGGATCCAGGCAATTTCCATACAGACTCTTGGATGCTTTGGTCCAGAGGTGATATGCATTATTCAGATTTACAGCCCTTGTCCAGAGTCACTTGACCTCTCCTCATTGCAAAGAAAGTCAAAAAACAATGCGGAGTAAGGGAGCTGAGACAAACATGTGGAAATTCAGTCAGCCATAAATGTCTCTGCCAGAGGTGAGCCTTCTAACTATCAGTGCAATGGAAGCAAACCTTTTTCTGAATACAAAACCATTCAGTGTTCTTCACATTGTCTTTAAATTCCAATAGGGGACTACAGTGTATGACGAAATGCTATTGAGTAACTCATTATGGCAAACATGAATCGCCTTAGGCATGGTTGAATTTGCCCTAACTCTTGTTTTTTGCCCAATACCTTAATACGTGAGAGGTGGCATGTTTGTGTTGTTCCATGAGGCAGAAGCAAGACCAATGATATTACCAGGTTTTGCCTTTATGTCCATGAAGAAAGTCTACTTTGAGCCTAATTCATGTTTTGACTGACCAGTGGAGAAATAGCAAAGGGAACTCTGGAGTTAAAGCTTAGGTTCTGAGCTCTTTTTTTTATTTGTTTGTTTTTGGTTTTTTGTTTTGTTTTTTTTTTTGGTGGGAGAGGGGGTTTGTTTTTGTTTTTCCTAGGGAAAAGGCAGGAGGGCCTGACTGGATCACCAGAATCCTCAGACAGGGCTAAAGGAAAAGGGTTTGTCTTTCAGTCTCCTCTGGTATAAAGTTAGGTAGGTCATTCTCAGAATTTTATCTGAAATACAGTGTTAGAGAAACACACCCAAAGTATCTTCTAGGCAAGAGAACCAGGAGAGAGTTGAGGAGTTAGGAGGAGCTCAAGGTTACAATGGGGGAATCTGAACAAATTGCTCTGGTGGGCTAACTTTTCCAGCTTTTTTCCTTTTCTTCTGTTTGTATAGAGTAAGATCATGTAAAGGGACTAAAAACGGATGAACATACTGGGCACTATGGACTAAAAGATCTTTGGCTAAAGAAGAGATGAAGACTCATTCAACTCCTACAAGTGAATTAAGAAAGCAAAGCCAGCCCAGAAGGGTGGGAAGATTAAGAACAGTGTGCCTTGTCTTGATACACAGTTGTGGTATAGGTAACAAAAACTGACTATCCAACCTAAGACGGTACCCCTCACCAGAATACCTCCAATCCCTTCCCTGTAAACACAGTATAAACTCCTATAGAAAGTTATAAAGCAGAAAAACAAGGTATCTTTTGTGGAGTAAAGAATGATTATGGAGGAAAAACACCAAATTAATTGTCACAGAAACAATTGTGTCATTCAGTGGAACAGTAGCTCTAAGGAAGGCAGCAGTAATACTCAAGGTACAGCCATTCTTCTGGAACGAGTCCCACCAATATGAAGCTGGAGTCAATGGTGGTGACGGTGGTGACATTGCTGAAAAGTAAGAAAGTTGAGGGAGGGATTCAGGAGAAACATTGCTGTTGGAATTAGACACCCAAGATCTAAACTAAATGGGATTAGTAATGATAAAAGGATAAAGGGTTGATTTTGGCCATCACCACTTTGCCTGAAAATATAGAAAAGCAGGAACCCAATGGTATGGTTGAATGCTCTAGAGCTACTAACAATAAAATGGGCTGCAACAACACACACACACACACACACACACACACACACACACAAAGTGAGATTCTTGTTAATGGGGATATTTAGGAAAGGGTGGGATGCTCACTCACCCAGGTTATTGCAGAAAACATCCTGCTTAGACTGAGAAATTGTGGAGGATGCCTAACGTCACTTCTGACATCTATGGAATTGTAAAGTCTGTTTCCCAAGGGGTCTAGTTTTGTCAGATTGTGACTATGTATTTGTGTATGTATATTTGTCTTCCTATTAGACAGTGCTCTGTCAACCCATGGTTGTTTTGAGAATCAAAGAGATAACATGCAGGAGGATGAAATGGGAACAGATTAGCACAAGATGCTCATACTGCCTAGTAATCATTGCTTTCTCCCTATTTCTGTCCCTGTCATCAGGCACAGCTATTCTATTAAATAGCTGCTCTCAATACACAATGGAAGTGCTTATTTTAATATCTGTCTGAACCTGGATATTGATTGGGAGCAAGGTTGGAGATTAGTTGATGAAGCTACATTTTGTGGGTTTTTATTTTTTCCACTAGAAACCGCAACAGGCAGAGACAAAGTTTGTGAATTCCAGTGCTTCTCTTGACAGGCAAGCCTCTAAGCTCTCTCTGAAGCCTTCCCCACTTCAGCTCTTGAGGTAACACGATTCCCTTCCCCACCCCAGCCAGGTGTCCCATCCACTACCAACCTGGAACAGAAGGAAGCTGGATGTTATAACTTCCCTTCAGGCTGGGGCTGACCACAGAGTGGTTCTTCCTCTTCTCAGTTCTAAAGCTCAAGCCTGCTCTGCAGCTTCCATTGGAATAGTTTATGTTTCCCTTTCAGGCCTTCCATGGTGAGGCCCTGCTCATTTGGATGCAGTGCAGCCTACCTCCTGCCAACATGATTTTTCTTCCATTCTTTATCAACAAGTCACAAGCCTATCTGGCCTTTTCCCAGCAATGAGAGATGCATGGCTTGAGGTCAAAAGGAAAGAAAGCCAAAATAGACTCTTCCTCTGCCAAGTATTTATCTCCCATTTGCCCTTCACCTCCTCCACCATGCCAAGGTGTTTTCCTACTCCAAGGCTAGAATTCGCATCAAAGGGAGGAAAGACTAGAGGAGAGAAAAAAGAGGAAAGGATGGGAAGGAGGAATGAAAAGACAGAAGGATGAGAGAGGAGGAAGAGAATGGGACCAAAGAGGGAAGCAATATGTTGAATTGCTTGAATAAATACAGAAAGGAAGAGAAAAGAATTATCTTTCTATTCTGGAAATAAGGTCATATACTCTTATTATTCCCACTGGCTTGAAGCAGAAGCCACAGCCTAAGCCCTTTCCTATTCCCCTCCACAAGCCCTCCAGCTCCCTCTGCTTGGATCCAGCATGCCCAGCGAAGCCCCAGTTGTAGGTTCAGCCTTAGATTCACAGGTTCCCAAACATGGAGACAATAGTTGACTCACTGCTTGCTTGACTGACAAAGAAAGAGCTGGCTGGGCATGGTGGCTCACACCTGTAATCCCAGCACTTTGGGAGGCCAAGGCGGGCGGATCATGAGGTCAAGAGATCGAGACCATCCTGGCCAACATGGTGAAATCCCGTCTCTATTGAAAATACAAAAAATAGCTGGGCGTGGTGGCACATGCCTGTAGTACCAGCTACTCAGGAGGCTGAGGCAGAAGAATCACTTGAACCCAGGAGGTAGAGGCTGCAGTGAGCCAAGATCACGCCACTGCACCACTCCAGCCTGGTGACAAAGTGAGACTCCGTCTAACAAAAAAAAAAAGAAAAAAGAAAGAAAGAAAAATAAAGAAAGAGCTATTAGCTATTGTCTGCTCTCTATGATCTGGGCTTTATTCCAAGTGAGCCCCAAGTGTTCTTGCCTCTCGTTTTCCTCATCTCATGTAAATCTTACTCTTAGCTTCATTTTCTGATGAAGAAACTGAGGTTAAATAACTTGCCTCAGGTCATACATCAAGAAAGATGTCATGATTCAGTCCAGAATGGTCTGCAGCAGGACTCATGCTCCTCACCACCCTGCCCCCTGCTTCCCCATCCACCCAACACTGCCTCCCATGAAGGAAAAGAGAGGCAGGTCAAATGCTTATCCCAGACTCCTAATTCTCCTAAGCTACTACATCCTCCAATGAGAAAAAGTATGACTTTCTCAAAATCATTGGGGATTTGGAAGATGCAGCTCCCTCATGGAGATACTTTGGAGCAAAGTAGAGCAGGTGCTTGGATAAATCATAGTACTGGAAAAAAAATGTATCCAAGCTGTTTATTTCCAAAATGAAAACCCTAAGGCCCTCAAACCTGAAAGAATTCATAACTTTGCTGAGTGTAGCTAAAACCAGAGCTGTTGAATTAAAGAACCTTAGAAGACATCTGATATTTCATCAAGTCTAAGCTATTAGTTTGTATCTGCCTCTATTTTAAAGATGCACTAAGAAACTCCAGTAACTGGTTTATCTTTGAATTATAGTATCTACTTTTCTGCAAAATGTGGAAGGAGTTAGTGGCAGATGTCCTGGCCAATTTTACAGAGGTATTAGAGTCTGCCACAGAATAGATGGTGATCAGAATAATGATCAGGTCAAGTGAGGAGGGCTGCATTTATGGTGGCTGGATACAGTAATCAATCAATAAAGAGATGTTAAATACATGAATGACTGAAGCTTTAAAAGTAGAAGGAGAAACAACTGAAGACTTTTTATGATGTTCCAAATATGCCATCTTAAAGTCTTCCTTGATGACAAGAGACTTCCATAAGACAAGTTCTGAAAGCTTTCGTGTTAAGGAACTCTTTTGGTAAATAAACTGAAAAGAACACTTTTGATGTTAGGACAAAACTATGAGTGGGCTCCAAGATTTTTATTTGATTTGCAGTTTCATCAGCCTTCACTGGTATGGCAAATCGAAATGGGAGACAGACTTTAATTATCCTAGTGACCTTTAGACAAGGCCCCAGAGTCTGGTGCCATAGGTTGCCATCTGAACAGAGCCGCATCAGAGATGCCCTCAGGGTTTATGAATTGCTCTGCTTGTTTTATATTTGTCCCAAATCATCTGGTACTATTAGCTATCATTTTATTTATGTCTCCACAAATGAATACTTTTAAGAAATGCTACTTCACAGTATAATATAATGGTCAGATACAATCTTGGGCTCTAGGGAAAAACAGCTCTTATTAAAATTGTGTCTCCATCACTTAATAACTATAAGTAATATCACAGTATTTAATCTCTCTGACCTCTGTTCAGAGCTCATCTATAAAATAGATGGGGGTAATAATGTTCACTAACTTAACAGGTTCTTAGAGCAGAGAATGAAATATGCAAGTATTCTGCAGAGATCTCATGTCTAACCTTCAAGAAGTTGCCCATACAATCCAGACCTGACCCAAGCAACTCCTCTCCTGACCACTAGTAGACAATAATATAATGACTTCATCTCCCTTCCCCTCATTTTACTTTTACAAAATAAACTTCTCTCTCTGACCATTAAGTAATTTAATCCCCAGGCACTATCAAGTCGAAGTCTGAATTAAGACTGTTACCCAGCTTTAAAGGACAATTTCAGGCTAGAGTGAAGACAAATTACTTGAGAAAAGAGGTTTGATTCAATTTATGCATATATTCACTGTCCCTGTGGTCAATGAACAGGGTCTCATTTAAAATTCAATTTGGAGAATTATGGTGCTTCTGATTGAGAGGAGAAACATAAATGAAATGGGTCACAAAGTGGCATTAATCTATTTCATAAGGGTTAGATACAGCTTGACAAATAAGAGAAGAGTCTCTCTGAGAGGTCTCTGCAGGAATAATCCTGGAGGAAGAGTCAAAATGGTAAAAGAAGAAAGGCACTGTTTCTCTACATATTATGACTGGTACTAGGGAGCCCTCTCTGGCAGCTTCCAGAAAGGAGAGAAAGAAGGTACAACTGAAGGGAGGGAGAAGTCAGAGAAGCTCTGTGTCCCCTTTTCCTTAGCTAGACAGGAACCAAAATGATGCAGTTATTCTCAGAGATGCTGCATTAGACCACTCACCAAAAGTTGCCTTGCGTCACGGAGATTTCTCCTTTCTCTGTATTCATAAGAATTTAATATCTAACTTCAGCCCCTTGTATTTGAAGCGGCTCCTAAAACTCAGCTCTGGCATTTGATCTCTCTCAGGAGGGTCAGTTAAAGAAAGACTACTAATGTTATTTTTTCCCTTTCATGGTGCAAAAGGTAACTCACCTGGCACCATGGAGTAATAATTAAAGAACCACATCCCTTCTTGCAGAAGCTATGAAGGAAGAAAATACGTTCAGAAAACAGAATTCAGACAGGAAAAGGGGGGCAACTTTTAAGCATGCACTCCGCACCTGGTTTTCTATATATCATTTCACATAGCACTTATCACAGCCCCCTGATCTGAAATTATTATATTCATTTTAAAGATGGGAGAACTGAGTTTCAAACAGGTTAAGTAGCTTGGCCAAGGTCACATAGCTGCTAAGTGGTAAAGTCAGGTTAGGAATTCTAACCTGGCAAACAATCCTAATTCAAACTCCAATGCCGCAGGTAGTACCTGGGGATAAAATACTTTAATAGCCAACTAACACCCTAGAGAAAGAGCTTGTTTTGCCAAAATGCAACTTGGAAAAGAAGGTAAAATTATTAGATCATTATTCACAAATGATCCTTGTTCTTGACAAATCATTCTCTTTACTAAACAGAAGCAACTGTCAGATTGACCAAGAATTTCTTCTTCTTCACAAGGTTTTTAGGTTGGTGCTAAATGATTATGGCTGGTGGAAAAGTTATCCTTTCTTCATATACACAGATACACACAGAAGATATATACATACACATCAAAGGGTTTAGGAAGGGTAATCAAAAAAAATTTTATATACTCATCTTCATCACCATCATCTTCATTATCACAGAATAAAGCTTAACTAAACAGGTAAGGACTTTCCTTAACTACCAATTTTAACAAGCTCTTCATTTACCCTCAGTGGTTTTATAGTATTTGAAACAGAACTCTTAGTACATTCTGAACACCAGAAAAAAAAAAATCCACTCTTCCAAATGCTTGTCTTCCAAGTAGAACCAGACAGCAAACTATAAGTTCACTAATGCATATTTTTAGAGAAGACTGTTGAGGCCTTTAATAAATGTATTTATTTATTATCCTCCTCTATTCTTTTTCCCTTCCTTCTTTCCCGATTCCTTTCCTCCTTCCTTGCTTCTTTCCCTTCCTCCTTTCTCCAGCAAATGTTTACTGAGTGCCTATGATATGATTAGCACTGAACAAAGCCCCAGGGATAAAACTCTTATCCAGGCCTAATGTAACCATTGAATGGAGCTGTGTGACTAGTGGAGGAGATAGAAATTTATCAAGTGACCACACAAACCATTGTGCAATGGCAATTCCTGCAGATGTACTAAAGAAGAGGTGCAGAGGGCTCCTTGAGAGACTGGCTGGTCAGGGAGGGCAAGGAAAGCTTCCTTGAAGAAGGGATGCTTGATTTAAGATAAAAAGCCAACTTCTCACAGAGGATAGGGAACAACGTTCAGGGAGATGGGGCAGCATGTGCAACGGTCCTGTGGCAAGGGAATGTGGCATACCAGAAGGAATGCACAGATGCCAGTGTATATGAAGGACAAATGCTGAGGGTAAGTCTGTTGCAAGATGAGGTTGCAGAGATGAGTAAGAGCATAAAGGGACATGTATATCATTTTAAGGAGTTTTTCATGAAACCCTCACAAGGGTTTTAAGTAAGAGATGACTTGATCAGGTTTGTGTTTTTAAACCTTCATTATTGCCTAAATGTGAAGAATTGATTATGCAGGGCATGTGTTTGGTAGGGGATGCAAATAAG